CATGGCCAAGCCTGCTGTCCAGAGGGGCAGGTTCCAAGATTTGCTGCAAGAATATTCAATGCAGAACTGAGATTCAGCTCATACAAATGAAGAAATAGAACCAAGAATTCCTTCCTCCTTTGGGTGCCCGTTTGTTGGGCCATTTTCCCCTTAGCTGGCAGGATAATACTCAACAAAACATGCTATTTGGTGGGGTTAATTTTTTTTTTAATGAGCTATAATTCACATACCATAAATTTACCTTTTAAAATCTACCATTCATTGGTTTTTTTAATTCACAAAATTGTGCAACCATTGCTACTATCTAATTCAGGAATGGTGGAGTTAAATTTTGACTTGAATCTTTGAATGAAATATCAACCAAAAATCAACTCTGATTCTCGGGAAACTTGTTCTAAACCTTTGGTCCCTTTTGCAAGGGAAGCTGCAGTTTTTATGCAAGTGTCATTTTTAAAAATGTAACAGAAAAATGAATCAGAAGACATTGAATTTTTCTTGGGCTTGTTGCCTGATTTCTTTTGTCTGCTACTGATGATTTTTAAATCTTTGGTCTTCAGGTTGGGGCTTATGACCATGGCTGTGTTATAATAAAGAATATTCAAAGCAATAAGACTGTCCTTGCTCTCTTTTTCTTCCTCTTCTTTGACAAACCGTGATTCGTTAGGGCAGGGCTTGGGCTGGTTTTGTTCTCCATCACCATCACCTAGCACAGGGTCTGCCATGCGGTAGGGGCTCGGTAAAGATTTGCAGAGTAAAGGGGCTGTGGTGGGTGCCCAGGAGAGGTCATTTTTGACATGTATCACTCCAGGTAGTTTATGGTGACCTTTGCACTTTGGCTTTGTGGATGGCCACGGAATTCATTGATACTCCTGAGATACAGCTGCTTCTAGAAAGTGAGAGCTTGACTTCTTCCCATGTAGTTCTAGGAACAGAACCTACAAGGACCCATGACCCCCAGCTCCCAGGAACTCTTATCCAACGTAATCTGAATTTGTAAAACCTTCTTGAGTTGGTATGGGGAAGCACAGTATGGGTGGTGTGAGTGTGTGTGTGTCTTTGAGTGTGCACACATGTGCATGTGCATATTTGCCTAAGCACACGATGGAACTGTGAGGAATTCCTCCATGTTTTTGTAAATTGCCCCTTTCTTCTTTCTGCCCTTGTAGTTTGTTGGGCCTAGGGTGCAGAGGGGCCTCTAGCCTGGGCACATGGCCCAGGCATGCTAGCATTCAGTGACCTATTGTTTCTTGCCCCTTACGTGCATGGACAGAAGACTGAGGCTGGCACAGCTGCTTTCTTGGGGACCATTGTTTGTCTTTGCAGCAGCAGCAGCAGTGAAAGCCTGAAGCAGCACATTTTGCCCTGGACAGAGCAGCCATTCTGTCTTGGAGCTGCAAGCCTGGAGATGGGGGTGGTTGGAGTCTCCCTTAAATGTCTGTGTGTATGCTCTGAGGATGGGAGCCAGGGAGGCTTCTCCTTCCAGGCGGGTTGCAGGGAAGGGGAGATGCTCAGTGGTGTCGTATCACCAATCAACCAGAGTGGCAGGTGGTATTTATTAGCAGAGACTTCTTTTCCTGGATCAGGGGTGAGGATGTCACTTTCTCACTCGCTCTGGCCTCTGGGCTTACTGGCAGACCTCAGGGTGTGCTCATGGGACAAGAAAAGCACTTCCTCTAAAGCTGCCCTGGAGAGTACATCTAGGAAGCAGAGAAGGGATCCAGCTGGGCTGTGGACTAGTGGAAACCTGGGCTAGTTAGTGAGTCAGTGTTCTAGTGCACACGTGACTCTGGAGGCCTGAATCACCCCTCACCTGGAAGGTGGAGAAGAGGATGTTCTGGGATGGGAGCCATAGAAACTGTGATTTACCCGGAAATACCTTCAGAGACTCCAGACTCGTGTTGTGTTTCTCTTATTTCCCTGCCCCACTATAACCTCTATGACAAGTCAGACAAGCCTTAATTTAGCTTCAACCCCACTTGCACCTAATTGTATGACCCTTTGGTTAATTACTTGATGAGTCTTACTTCAGTTTTCTCATCTGTGCAATCAGGGTAATTGGGAATACTTATGGACTAGTTGTGGAGATTAGTGAGGAGATGTATGTAAAGGCCCATAAGGGTGTTCAGTAGACACATCCTCCCTTTCGTTTGTGGGCCGGGAGGAAGTGCCTGAGGGTGGGATGCTGTTTGTGCTGCACTGCCCACTCATTGAGGCACTTGAGAAAGTCAGGGTGGAATTCTGTGCTGGCTGGATATGCTTAGGGGCTTCTTAGACTAATTCACTTATCTCAGAGGCCTCCTGTGGAGAGCTTATGCCTGGACAGGACAACCCTGGAGTCCTCTCTCTCTGGAACTTCATAGGTATCGTGGGAATTTGCCTCACCGCCTCTTTTTTTGGCAAAAGGTGGGCATCATCCATTGTATCCTGTTCCTTTCTGCTCCCCTGGTTAGTGAGATTATTGAGGCAAAGTCTTAAGTGAATTACAGGTGACTCAGAGGGGTCTGACATCCCCATTGCCCATCCACATCTCCTTGAACATCTGAGTACCCAAGAGCCTTTTCACCCTAAGTTGCCCTGATTCTTATTTAATGGACAAGTTGTAAGTAATATCACTGAGCATTTTGAATGTCCTCTTCACCCACAGACCACCCACCCAATGGCTACTATTGCCAGCTTTTCATCAGTAGAAAGGGGACAGATGCCTCTAGGAATAGTCTTGACAAGGGCTGTTGCCTTTAAGAGGCCCAGAAGCCCCTGGCAAGTACCAGATGCCTAACATGCCCTCTGCAGATCTTTCCCCTCGGCACCCTTGTAATCAGACTCCAAAAAACACAGAACGAGAGAGCTTTGATGAGTGATGAGATAGGCGGCTTTTCTGCGCAGCCTTCTGTCTGCTTGAAACAATCCTCTGGTGCTCAGTTTCAGTTCAGGTGAGGTTACTGCAGGCCTGGTTGGCACTGGTGCTTGCCGAGAGGGAGGCATGGGGACGAAGGTGAGAACTGTACTTACAGATCACCTAAGATCACCCACAAAGGACGAGATACTTGTGCTATATCCTGATATCTGTAAAAAACAGAAACAAAAATGAAGCTGAGGGGCTGGCCCTAGTGGCCTAGTGGTTAAGTTCCGTGCGCTCTGCTTTGGCGGCCCAGGTTTGATTCCTGGGTACAGACCTGCACTACTTGTCTGTCAGTGGCCATGCTGTGGCAGCAGCTCACATACAAAAAGAGGAAGATTGGCAGCGGATGTTAGCTCAGGGTGAATCTTCCTCAGCCAAAAAAAAAAAAATGAAGATGGGGCTAGATAATGGCCCCCCAACTACTCCAAGGTAAAGCTACAGGCACCATTTGCCCATCCCTCATTGCTTCATGAAAGGAGTGGTTGGCAAACCTTTCAACTTCATAGACCCAATCCTGGATTTCCCTCTCTCCCCTTGCACCACCCCTCCCACAGGCCCTGAGCTAAGATCTGTTGCCCATCTTCCTCTTTTTCTTTTTTTTTCCTCCGCAAAGCCCCAGTACATAGTTGTATATGCTAGGTGTAGGTCGTTCTAGTTCTATGTGGGACGCTGCCTGAGCATAGCTTGATGAGTAGTGATTAGGTCCGTGCCCAGGATCCGAACCCGTGAACCCCAGGCCGCCAAAACAGAATGCGTGAACTTAACCACTACGCCACCGGGCCAGCCCCCCCTTGGATTTGCCTCTGATTTATCCACAGTTCAGATGAAAATTCTAGATCCCCCTCATGCGTTAGGTAGCATTAGAGAGAAAGCATTGCTACAAGTCTAGTATTTGGGAGTGAATTTGGAGCAGGCGTAATAATTTGGTTCTCTTTTTCTCTCAGATTAGAGTCACTGTCACATCCTAATGCACTGGAGCTGAGCAGGCTTGCAGGGGAGAGGGATAAAAGAAATGGCTCCACTCTGACTCAGATGGGGATTGGAACATCACTTCAGCAGGATACGTACGCGCTGAAGGCCTTTTCTGAGCTGAAAAGCAGTCTGGCTTTGGCAAGCTGCTTCCTGTGTGTGCCAGGTCTCTTGTCAGTAACAAATGTAGTATTGCATTTGAGGCAGATCTTATTGCATCTGGAGCTACCATTGCTACTGTTCCAGAGAGGGTGTTTTCTAGTCCTGTATGAGGACTCTGGCCAGCCAGCAATCTGCCAAGCTAGAGCTTAACCAGAAATATTTCTAGCTTTGACACGTCAGAGACTCTAAGCATCAGTGAGGATGAAGCAACAGAGATCTGAGTGATATTTGTTGATGAAAAATCAACTTCTTGAAGATTGGTTTAATTCCATGATATTGGAAACTGTGGAATCTGATTGACAGTGAATAGTTTGCTTGCCTAGAGGCCGTGGTGCTTGTTTCATTCTTGATTGCCTCTATTTGCCCTTGGGCAGGGTCCTATATCTCTCCACTAAAATACCCTGACCTTCACCCTACTTCATGAAGATGCTGAAATGATGGGAGAAAGTATAAAAAGTAGGAGCTTAGGCTCTAAAGTCAGTCTGCCTGGGTTTGAATCCCAGCTCCACCACTTAGTAGCTTGACTTCTTCAAGAGTCAGTTTTCTCTTCTTTAAAACGGGGATGAAAGTATTACCTCTCTGACAGGATGGTTGGGAGATAATTCATTAGGCTCTCTATCAGAAGAGAGCCCAAATTCTGGCACTGTGCCAGAAACACAGTAAATTGCTCAATAAATGGTAGCTCTGAATATTATTATGTCTAATAAGCAGTTTCTCTTAAGTGATTCAGCATATTCCTGGTTCCATTGTTCCTCAAGGGTCTGAAAAGAGTTAGTGGAGTTTTTGGAGGTACCTTGCATTATACGACCAGTTTAGGTTTTTATTTTATTTTATTTTATTTTATTTTATTAAAGGCTTTAAGTTCCCCAGAGGACAGGGAACAACTAAGTGGAGGGGGTAAATGTTGGTATGTATGGGTTTTTTTAATGAGGAATCTCTGTCTGACTGTTTTACCCTGTTTTTGTTGCAGAGATCCGCGCTCAGCTCACAGAGCAGATGAAATGCCTGGACCAGCAGTGTGAGCTCCGGGTGCAGCTGTTGCAGGACCTCCAGGACTTCTTCCGAAAGAAGGCTGAGATTGAGATGGACTACTCCCGCAACCTGGAAAAGCTGGCAGAGCGCTTCCTGGCCAAGACGCGTAGCACCAAGGACCAGCAATTCAAGTAGGGACTGTGTGGCTGTTACTTTTTAGAGACCTTGGGAATGGGGGTCTGGGATAGAGGAAGGCAGGGTGTGCTGCCTACATCCAATTGGATTCATGAAACTAGTAACCCAGTGACTTCAAATTGGCTGAGGGTTGAGAGCCCTCAAGGACTTCTGTTTTTCCAGATCAGTCTTACATGCAGTTCAGCACCCTGAAGAGATTAGAATAGATGATGAACCATGCTAATAATAACAACAAACACTTTTATAGTCCTTCCTATGTGCCAAGCATGGTTCTAAGGGCTTTACGTATGTTACCTCACTTAACCTCCACAACAACTCCGTATGTTGGTTATTGTTATACCCCCAGTTTACAGATGAGTAAACTGAGTCATAAAGAGGTTAAGAAACTTGCCCAAGGTCTCTCACATACACACACACACACACACACACACACACACACCCCTCATAAATAAATAGCAGAGCTGGAATTCAAACTCAGGGAGTCTGGCTCCAGAGTCTGTGTTCCTGCCCATTTCACCAAACTGCCTTTAACCAGGAAAAATGAGTGATGTTGTAGCCATACATCTAAATTGCTGCCCAGACAATTGCTGAGGTCTGTTCCTTTGACGTTTACAATATTTTATACAACTGGCCCCTTCATTCTGTTCTCACTGCCATTGCCCTAGTTTAGATCATCATCATCTTTGCCTGAATGATTGCAATACTGTATCATCTGTAAATGAGGTTCTCCACCCTGGCTGCACATTAGAATTCCCTGGAGAACTTTTTAAAAATGCTGAAATCTGAGGCCTACTGGAGACTGATTAAATCAGAATTTCTGGGAGTAGGGCCTGGTAGCAGTATGGTGTCAAAGCTTCCCAGTTCCATGATTCTAACGAACATTCAGCATTGAGGACCACAGTCTGCAGCTTCTCCCCATTCCAATCTGCCTTATCCACTATTATCAGATTTAATCTTCCTGGAACACGCTGGGGATCAAGCAGTTTCTCTGTGCAGTGGCTCCCCGTTGTCTATGTTCTTGATACTCAAGGTGTGGTCTCCCAATATCAGCACCAGCCAGGATGTTGGGAATGGAGAATGTCAGGTCCCATCCCCAGATCTACTGTTGCAAGATCCTGAGGTGATTTGTGTGCGTGTTAAGGTTTGAGAAGTGCTGCTGTATTCACAAAGGTATACACTCCCTGGCTTGGTCTTCAAGCCCCTCCACATCTGGCCCTGACTAGCTTTCCAACCTTATTTCCTGTTTCTGCTCCACTGTACTGTAGGCAAACAGAACATTAGCTCCAGGGGGCCTTTGCTCATCCTGTTATCTGAGCTTATGTGCCCATTCTTCACATCTCTGCATGTCTAAACCATACCCATGTTTTAAGACCCATCGCAGATGCTCCCTGTTCCCAGAAACTTTTCTGATTCTCCCAGAAGAAAGAATGTTCTCCCTCTTCTGAATTCTTACAACATTTTACTTGTTGTTTTATTAGGTCATTCAGCACTGTCTGCCTTATATTATCTTCCCTAGTGGACTGTATAAGCTTTTCTGATTCATCTTTCAGTCTTCCACAGTGCCTAGTGTAAAATGTGGTATTAACAGATGCTCATTAAATATTATTGGATGAGTAAACGAATGAGTGAATTTAAGAATTAATGCCAAGTGAATTTTATCTTATTTTCCACTATTTTCTATTTTTGTTTATTGTCCAAATAATTCGGGACACAACTTAGCCTTTACAAGCCAGCGCTGAGCAATGAATATGGAGGCTAACATTGAGGGGAACATATGACACTCTCAGTATCAGCCAGAATGAGAATTTCCTCCAGATGTTTTGTCCTCAGAATCCTTTATCTTTCTCAAGTGCTGTTCTCTTTATGATAAGCAGTCCTGAGAGAATAAAATGTTACTTTAGTATGTGATAAAGGAGTATTTGGGGGGAGGAGTCACTTTAGAAAAATGATTCAAAGTTGGATTTATTCTATTGGTAAGCTCCTCCTAAATTTAAAATAGCATTTGATTTTTAGTACTATATCATATTCTCAGGTTAAGGATATATTTACTACAAATTAAGGTACAGAGTGCTAATTTCTAAGTCACCTGAATTGCTCTGATTAAGATCACATACACGGAATAGGGTGTTGTCTCCAAGGCTGGAAGAATTGATTTCCCTTCTGATAAAGCTGGAACCTGGCTTCATTTTTTCCCAAACAACCAATGAGTATTTATTGAGAGCCAGCTGTGTGCTCAGTATTGTATAGGCATTGGAAGATACAAAAGAAGTTTATTGTGTGTATCCATGGGGGGGCCATATCTGGTTGGGGAGAAAAGATTTTTAATACAGGAAGCAATTAGAAGATAAAGCAATAATGATCTCATTAAGAGATCATTGGTTTTAAGTAGAATATAGATGTGATTAAAGGTCACAGATGAATCATCAGAGATAAATAAAGGATCTGGAATAGTCAGGAAAGTTTTCATGAAGCAAGTGGGACTTAGGTTAGTTTTTAAAGGTAGATCTGTGTAGCGGAGAACAGCATGTGCAGGTGAGAAGAAGCAGGAATGTTTGGTGGTGAGGGGGTATATGGGCTAATGAGGCATCTAGCTTCATTGAAAGGAAGCTTCTCACACAGTCATTCAACAAATGTCCACGGAACATTCTTTGAACTCCTTTAGGCCTGACATTGTACCTTGGGATACAGCAGTGAACAAGGACTGCCTTTTCCTCATGGCACTTCCAGTAGAAGGAGGGAACAGGCATTAAACAGATCACCCAGTTTAGATGAGTTAAGGTAAGTGTTGCAAAATGAAAGTACAAGGTGCCACAAGAACTTGTAAGTAGGGGACTTCTCTGCTCTTTTTGCTGTCACTTTATGGCTAGTTTGCTTTAATGGCAGCCTGTCTGATCGTATCCTGAGTAACAATCTACTTGTTCAACAAACCCCTTTTAAATATCTACTGGGTACTGTGCTCTGTGCTGATTCCTATGGAGACTAAGATAAGCTCTGAAATCCTGGCTAACCGGGCAGAGAGGCATGTAAAGAATATAATATGAAAAGGGCTTTAATAGAGGTGTGAGCAAAATATTATGAGAACACAGATATTTTCAAAAGCCATGGAAAATAAGGTTAGATAAGGAGAGTGGACACCAAATCATGGCTCTTTGACAGACAAGTAGAGGAGTTCAGATTTGATGTGACAGTGAGCCCTCTGGGTTCTTGAGTAGGGAGAAAGACATGAGGAAAAATGTGGTAGAAGAAAGAATTTTTATGCCAGAGAAGGCCAAGATAGAGGTTTTGGGGGGTAATCCATGCATAATGTGATAGCAAATAAGAATGGAGTGGAAGGAATGTGTTAAAGAAGTATTCAAGAAACTGGACAGGACTGGATAACTAATTGGGTAAAGAAGTGTAATGGTCAGAGGTGACCTGGTGTCTCTAACCTGGCAACCTAGAACAGTTGTGGCATCTATGATAGCACTGGAGATGTTGAGGGAAGACCTGTTTTGAATGGTGAGCCTGTGTTGGACATGTTGGGTTTGGGGCAGTGGGAGGCCTTCAGGCATCCAGGCAGAGATGTTGTACTGCTGAAGTGAGAGGTTATGACTGCGAATAGATAGCAGAATCTTCAGTATAAAAGTGATTGTGGAAGATATGAAAGTGTATAAACTCAAAGGAGAGAAAGAGAAGAACAGACAGCTAAAACCAGGACTGAAGGCTAGGGCACACCCAATGTTAGGGAGTAGTAAAAGTTACTACTAGAAGTAAAAGTTACGAGAAGGGAGGAGGAAGGAGGAAGGGAAAGAGGGAAGGAGAGAGAGAGAGATTTTTTTTTTAAGCAGGTAAAAAGATAGAAGGTAAGGTAGGATGGTGTTGTCTGGTGGAACTAGAAGTCTTTCAAGTAGAAGATCTGTAAAAGTTAATCCCAGCAATTTCTTACTGACACTCTCCCATGTATGAGACATTGTGAGAGACGCAAAGATGACTAAAATGAGCCCCAAACCCAAGAGCTTTCAATCCATTAGAAACATGAAATTGCTGGGTTTTGTAGGTCAAAAATGGTCACCACATAGTAGCAATTTAATGTGGTACAGCCTCATAGAGGAGGAGACATACACACAAATGCATCTAATACAGGCAGGATAGTGAGAGGCTCAGTAAGAGAGTCTAGGCAACACCCTACTTTCATACGTAATTTATTCCTAAAGACATACAGGAAAGGCAAATGGTTGAATGTCAAACCACAGTTTTATGTGGAGTAGATGGGTTCTATTACTTAGTATAAGTATATATTTGAAATTCTGAATTATACTTCACCTGGTGTACTTTTAGCGTTTTGTACCTTGTTTTTAATTTTCTTCTTTTTCTCACAATCAAACCCATGGTCTGCCTGCTTAAGTCCAGTGAGCATCTGAAGAGTCCTTGTGGCTGCTGATTTCTACCCTTGTCTCATTAATACAGTGATGAGACTCTACTTCTCAACGCAATACTAGTAGCAGCACTTTCATTTTTCCACTTTCTACTCATTTCTCTGTTGCAAAAGGCAACCAGGAATTCAGATGTTTGCACGCACAGCTTTACTATATAGAGACAACCATGCTGGGAAACTGAATTGGCACTTGGCAGGAGGCACCACCAGGCCAAGCTTGAAACATTTGTTAGCAACTGAAAAAGTTGACATTTTTGGCCCAGGAACGGCTTTTGTAGGCATGTCTGTTTTGGTTAGGATATAGGTTTAGCTGCTTTAATAGACTCCAAATAATAGCAGCTTGTACAAGATAGAGGTTGATTTCTCTCTTGTGTAATCGTCTGGGTGTTAGCCATCCAGGGCTGTGTCAGCCTCCTTATTCCATCCCTAGAGTGTTCCATCCCTGTCTGTGTGACCCAAGATGGCTCACTGCCTTCATATCCCCATTCCAGCCAACAGGAAAGGCAAAAGGGCAAGGGGCAGGTAACATCCTGACTCTTTAAAGGTGCAGTCTGGCAGTGGCACATACATCTCTTCAGGTCA